ATATATATATATATATATATATATATATATATATATATATATATATATATATATATATATATATATATGAGGCTGTAATCTCACAGAAAGAAAGACACTGGTTCGAGTCAATTGGCATTTTTGTGTTGAGTTTGCATGTTCTCCTGTTGTTGGCTTGGGATTCCCCTGCGTGCTCTTGTTTCCCCCACAGTCCAAACACATGCGCTATAGGGGAATTGGTTAAGCTGGTTAATGCAAGAGTGTATGGGTGTTTTCCATACTGTTTTCCATTACATATGCTGGATAAGTTAGTGGTTCACTCCGCTGTGGCAACCACTGATTAATAAAGGTACTAAGCTGAAAAGAAAATGAATGAATTAAAGAATATAACAAAAAAAAATGTATGTGTGTGTATCACATTAAATAAATAACCCACACATATATTGTCAAAACAAATGTTTATTTCGAATGTGAGTAATCACGATTAATCTTTGCCCAGCACTAAAAGTAATGTTACAATCTCAATCTTTGAAAATGCAAAAATAACTTTCACAATTCAAATTACGACACTGTTCATGATGTACACATTTTAATATTTAATCTTTCTGTCATTATATTCGGATGAATTAGACTTCTGGTTTTAAACATATAAATGCTGCTATAAACCCTGCTTATAATAAACAGATGTTACAATTTTCAGATTACCAGCATAAATACTAAGACTTATGAGCCTTCACAAACGTCTATCACATGAATCCAAATGTATCATATATATATATATATATATATACATACAGTTGAAGTCAGAATTATTAGCGCCTTGAATTATTAGCGCCCATGATTATTTTTTCTCCTGACTTCTGTTTAACTGAGAGAAGATTTCTTCAACACATTTCTAAACATAATAGTTTTAATAACTCATTTCTAATAACCAAGTTATTTTTTCTTTGCCATGATGACAGTAAATAATCTTTGACAAAAAGTATTTTTCAAGACACTTCTATACAGCTTAAAGTGACATTTGAAGGCTTAACTAGGTTAATTAGGTTAACTAGGCAGGTTAGAGTAATTAGGCAAGTTATTGTTAGGCAAGTTAAACTGATTTGGTCTGATAATTTTATAAACTGAAAATTTCCTTACTCTGTTAAAAATCCTTTGCGAAATATTTTTAAAAGAAAAAAAAATCAAAGAGTGGCTAATAAATCTGACTTCGGCTGTATATATATATATATATATATATATATATATATATATATATATATATATATATATATATATATATACATATATATATATATATATATTCATTCATTCATTTTCTTGTCGGCCTAGTCCT